ACTGATGCTCTCTAATATAATGAAGCCTCTCACGTTCGACACGAACATATAAACCTACAATGTATTGTTGAAATAATTTTTTTGATTGGTGAATATGGGAAAATGCTGTTCTAATGGCAAGCCTGTAACACGCGAATGGTAGCATGGTTACATGTTTGCGATTTGGCTGCTTGCGTGGTCCATTATGCTCCATTTTAGGATCCCAGCCTGGTTCGCCATGAGATCATCATTTCATCATTGGATTTTGGATAAATCATTGGATCACAATGAGGACTTAATACAGATATTTGGTTGGCAGAAGATTTGGTTCAAAATTATATGAGCTTTGGAAGCAGACAGAGATGCAAAAGCCATACAACTGATGTACCTCAAAATGTTAGTCATAATTATATGAGCTTTGGAAGCAGACAGAGATGCAAAAGCCATACAACTGATGTACCACAAAATGTTAGTCATGAAGATGGGTTTGGAGAACAGGTCGCGAAGTTGATCATGGATTCCAGGCTCGGCAAGTCTGAGAAGACCATTAGAACAACATCTGTTAAAATGGCCGTTCACCTCCTCTTTTTTAAAATGCAAGGCGTCACAATAAACTTCTCACACACACACACACACACCCTCACACACCCTCACACACACACACACACACGCGCTCACCCATACGCACACACGCGCTCACCCATACGCACACACACGCACATTACCACTATCACATTATCACACATTACCACTTCACATTTAAAAGTCCGAAGATATTTTCCGGATAATCATTTTCGATAAAATTATCAGTGCTCTGCCGAAATGGATTAAGGTTATTTCCCCGTTCACCCCTACGTCGTACATTATCCATCTCACTGAGATAGCCATCATGTCGCACTTTGCGTCGCACGGATAAATTGCGAGAAACATTGCCACGCTTCGCCGGACGCCCACGTTTTCGACTCCGATCCATTCCCAATATTAAAACGAATACGCGCACTTTGCTAAAAATTCGGGATTCTTCATACACGACAAATATTAACAAAATTCAAAAGACGACGCGCACTGTACGAAAAAATCGGAATTCTTCATAAACGACGAATATCAATGACGACGAACGCCTCGGGCAGCCGAGTCATCAGCTGACCGAGAACGAACAGCACGGGGAAAACGAAAAACCGCGCGTCTCCCAGCGGGACGAACGGGATAAGCGATCTTTCGGAGGGCGCGGGGCCCGACGCGCGATCCCCGTATTTTTCCCGACCTCGCGGGACCGGGACGGTCCCGCCGGCACCTCCGACGCCCGGATCGGCACGACGGTCGCGGCGCAATTTCGAAACACAAATCGGGCTTACGGAATTATACAGGGTGTCCCAAAAGTCCCTTCCACCCCCTCTAATATTTTACCTAATTAATATTTTGAAACGAAACTTTGGGGATGTTCAACGATCAATGTAAGCTACTTTTTGGGCCCCCCAGAATTTTCGGGGCCCCCCGTGGGGAGGGGCTGCGGACCCCAACTTTTTTTTTTCAAATGACAACCCCTATCTTGTGATACCTCATTCGAAAGAACATAAAAAACTGAGAATTTTGGCGCAAACCGCAGATCAATATCTTAATTTTTGACCGAGTTATGATAAGTCAAAGGTCAAATTTGACCTATTTTCAAAAAATCATAACTCCGGTTCAAATTATCGTAATGAAAAAAATAAAACGGGAAAATTTACCACATTGTAAGCACTTTTAAGGAAAAATCACAGAAATTACTTCAAACTAATTTTAAGGGGGGTTTCAGACCCCCAAATACGCCAATTCAAGGGTCATTCAATTTTCCCGCGAAATAAGCCAATTTCCCCCAGATTTGCCTCCACATTAGTTCAATAAGGTCAAAATCAGTTCAACATTACGTTGGCAAGTCCCCAAATTTCGGGAAAAGTTAAAAAATAAACGAAATTAAAGGTGATTAAATTTGACCGTTTAAATTTTTTTTTTTAACTTTGCCCGAAATTTGGGGACTTGCCAACGTAATGTTGAACTGATTTTGACCTTATTAAACTAATGTGGAGGCAAATCTGGGGGAAATTGGCTTATTTCGCGGGAAAATTGAATGACCCTTGAATTGGCGTATTTGGGGGTCTGAAACCCCCCTTAAAATTAGTTTGAAGTAATTTCTGTGATTTTTCCTTAAAAGTGCTTACAATGTGGTAAATTTTCCCGTTTTATTTTTTTCATTACGATAATTTGAACCGGAGTTATGATTTTTTGAAAATAGGTCAAATTTGACCTTTGACCTATCATAACTCGGTCAAAAATTAAGATATTGATCTGCGGTTTGCGCCAAAAGTCTTAGTTTTTTATGTTCTTTCGAATGAGGTATCACAAGATAGGGGTTGTCATTTGAAAAAAAAAAGTTGGGGTCCGCAGCCCCTCCCCACGGGGGGCCCAAAAAGTAGCTTACATTGATCGTTGAACATCCCCAAAGTTTCGTTTCAAAATATTAATTAGGTAAAATTTTAGAGGGGGTGGAAGGGACTTTTGGGACACCCTGTATATTAGGATTTTGTTCAAGGCTTTTGATTGTCTCAGAGTCTCTAAATGAGGTGTTGAGACAAACAACTGTTCCCATTTTTTAGATGGCTATGAGATACTAAGTATAAAACAATGTAAAGAAAAAATAACTGAAAAGTTTTGACGTTAGCAGTAGCTGATTTTGAAAACTTGCAATGATCCTTTTATCTTTAACTCTCCCATTTACATAAATGTTTGATGTAAAGTTCAAAATAGTGTATTTTTTTCGGAAAATACACTAAAAAAGTACTTCTTATGAAATATAATGGACCTGTTGCATGCAAGAGATACAGCCGTGCGAATAGACTTTTTAGAGGTTAAATGACATGAAAATTACGATGGTCACATTAAAAAAGTCTGAAATACACTCCTTACTGCGCAATTTGCGTTGTTAGAAGCGCGCTTTTTCAAATTTCCCGCGTCGGGGGGCAGTTTTCTTACGGAAACAATTAACGGCAACTCGCGGCTATTTCCGGTCAACTAAAACTGACAACATAACCTAAAAATCGGAGCTCGTGATATCATGAAATGAAATGTAGAAGGATTGCGTTGGATATTTAAAAGTTGATCGATTTGGTGACCGCATAAAGCGTATATGGACCACTATAAGAGATCACGTTAGGTTTGTGAACAAACTGAAGGAAAAAACGCAATAGTGTATTTCCTTCAGAAAATACACAAATAACAACAACAACAACAACAACGACTCGGCATCTTCCGGAAATCACCGAGCCCGCCGTTTGCTCGTTTCCGGTGATTAGAAAACTGCCCCCAGACGCGGGAAATTTGAAAAAGCGCGCTCCTAACAACGCGAATTGCGCAGTAAGGAGTGTATTTCAGACTTTTTTAATGTGACCATCGTAATTTTCATGTCATTTAACCTCTATAAAGTCTATTCGCGCGGCTGTATCTCTTGCATGCAACAGGCCCATTAGATGATATGTAAGGAAAGATAAAAAAGTATGACGTCAATCAGCCATTTTGGAAACTTGATGTCTCCTGACGGTCTGTTTTTTCACTTAAATGGCCGCTTGACTTCAAGTCCAAAATATAATTCTTCAAATTGCAAGCATTTCAATCAAATTTTAGCATACACCAGGTAAGGAATTTTCAATTTAAAACAATTACTTTATCTGTTGTTGCTCTCCGTCAAGGATTTGAGGTTTTTTCTCCCTTCTTTTTTTAATTTAAAATTTCTTTCCTAATTAATGGTATTTGATTTGAGTGTTTACAATTGGAAACATACTATTTTGGACTTAATGTTAAGCAAGCACGTACAGGGTGTTAGAAAAGTCCCCTCCCCCATCTAACTTTTTACCTAATTGAGATAGAGATTTGAAACTTGGAGGATGTTCTTAGGTCAAAGGGAGCTACTTTTTGGCCCCCCCTAAAATTTTTGGGGGGTAACGGACCCCACCTTTTTTTTTTTCAAATGGGAAGACCCCCTTTGTGATACCTCGTTCGAAAGAACATAGAAAAAGAAATTTTTTCGCGCAAACCCGAAGTCATTATCTTGAGCCGTTTCAAAATGGCGGCCGGTTTAAGTTCAAATGACCGAAAATTGGCATCTCGGCTATTTGCACATGGATTTGTTTGAAACTCGGTATCTGCGGGTATTTTCGCACGAGAAAAACGAATTTGACGTAAGATTTTTTAAAAAAAACCCTAATTTTTCACAATGGCGGCCGGTTAAGGTCCAAAATGGCCGAAAATTGACAAACTTGATTTTTTGCGGATGGATTCGCCTGAAACTTGATGTCTGGGGGTATTTTTGGCACGAGAAAAACGAATTTGACGTCACAACTCAAGTTTGTCACGCTTCGGCCATTTTGGACCTTAACCGGCCGCCATTTTGAAAAATTAGGATTTTTTTTAAAAATCTAACGTCAAATTCGTTTTTCTAGTGCAAAAATACCTCCAGATACCGAGTTTCAAACAAATCCGTGTGCAAATAGCCGAGATGCCAATATTCGGCCATTTGAACTTTAACCGGCCGCCATTTTGAAACGGCTCAAGATAATGACTTCGGGTTTGCGCGAAAAAATTTCTTTTTTTATGTTCTTTCGCACGAGGTCTCACAAAGGGGGTCTTCCCATTTAAAAAAAAAAAAAAGGTGGGGTCCGTTACCCCCCAAAAATTTTAGGGGGGCCAAAAAGTAGCTCCCTTTGACCTAAGAACATCCTCCAAGTTTCAAATCTCTATCTCAATTAAGTAAAAAGTTAGATGGGGGGGGGGAGGGGACTTTTCTAACACCCTGTACGTGAATGAAAAGACATTTAAGGGCTGACCAAGTTTTCAAAGCAGCTCCTTGCAGGGAAGATACAATTTTTTTTAATAATCATGGTTTCTTCACAAGGAATGCTCGAGAAATTATTTTTATTAGATTAGGGAGAAGGGTTATAGTGGCATCGAAGAAGTCTGAAAAGAAAAAAACTGTAAATGCACACACTTACTTGGAGACCTCTTACATCCAACATTAGCCTCTTCCTAATTTAAAAAAGTTAGAAATTAAAAATTAAAATCAGTGAACATTGTTAAGCAATGTGTGGAGGTAGTAGCACTATATATATGTCGCAGGCAATACGCAATCGTAGGCAATTTGCATTCGGCTCGCAAATTGCCTAGGCATTCCGCAAGCCGGCGAATTGCCAAGGCAATTTGCAATTTGCCTAGGCAATATGCATATTGCCTAGGCAATCCACGAGCGGCAAGTGATGAATTGAAAAATGATAAAATAATAAGACTTTACCTTGAAGTTGAATGTGATATCCTCAGTGTGGATGGCGTATGGTCAAATAGGTCGCGCCGCAATCGTGTAGTTCCTGAAGTGTTCTTTTCACTTTTAAAGTTTTTTTTTTTTTTTAGTTTTAAAGTTAATAAAACGCGTCAGTAGAAATTCGATAAAAAACACACTTCATACTTAAAAATCATGTAAAACCGGAAGTTTTTTTTTTTTTTAGTTTTACGAGGGCTGTCCCAAAAGAAACCGGACTTTTGTCATAGAAGGCGAACCAAGCGTCGTAATGAAGTTCTCTTGGGCTTGTTTGAAAGCTAATAAGCTATTGAAAATGCTTGTTTTTACAGAATGCAAAAATTCGTCTTGGTAAGGAAACCACAAGCTTTGGAATAAAGGAAAGTCGAACTCGAGTTGCGATTTTTGTCTTTATTTCAAGAAAAATTTAGATTCAACTTTAAAAAAACCAGGTTTTATGTTAAAAATTCGTGGCTCTCTTATTCAAATGCTTAAAAATAAGGAGATTAACATTTTAAGCAGCTTACCAAGTCATCACCTATCCCCTTCAAAATACTCGCCAGCTTTCTCGATGCATTTTTTTCCACCGTTTCTTCTACTGGGAGTAACACTGTTGGAAATCCTCAGGTTTGAATGATCGCAATTCCTTCAAGGTGACCTGACCTGGCTCCGTGTGATTTTTTTTTATTTCCACGACTTAAATCTACCTTGAAAGGTCGACGTTTTCAAACCATTCCGGAAATCCAAGAGAACACCTTGTATAAGAATTGCGATCATTCAAACCTGAGGATTTCCAACAGTGCTTCTCCCAATTGAAGAAACGGTGGCAAAAATGCATCGACAAAGCTGGCGAGTATTTTGAAGGGGGTAGGTGATGACTTGGAAAGCTGCTTAAAATGTTAATTTCCTTATTTTTAAATTTGAGTAAGAGAGCAACGAAGTTTTAAACTTGAAACCTGGGTTTTTTTAAAGTTGAATCTAAATTTTTCTTGAAATAAAGACAAAAATCGCAACTCGAGTTCGACTTTCCTTTATTCCAAAGCGTGTAGTTTTCTTACCAATACGAATTTTTGCATTTTGTAAAAACAAGCATCTTCAGTAGCTTATCAGCTTTCAAACAAGCCCAAGAAAACTTCATTACAACGCTCGGTTCGCCTTCTATGACAAAAGTCCGGTTTCTTTTGGGACAGCCCTCGTAAAGTTAATAAAACGCGTCAGTAGAAATTCGATAAAAAACACACTTCATACTTAAAAATCATGTAAAAACCGGAAGTTTTTTTTCTTTTAGTTTTAAAGTTAATAATAAAACGCGTCATTACAATTAAAAATACAATTGAAACTAAAGTTATTTGTTTGCACATGTTGAAGAAGTATGGCAGCGACTGTTACACTGTAAATTGTTTTTAAAGCAAGTGCACCGATTGGTGCGGCACTGTGTTTTAGAAGTCGAGCAATTACATTTTTTATAGCCTTGGCCGTTGAAAAGCGAGTGGTGGGCTACAGCTTCTCTTATCGAAACTTTTTTCTGCAAATCGATATTGTCCAGTTTCAAATTGTTGGTTGGGACTTCTTGAACCTGATTTCTTGACAACCAGTTTTTAAGTAAACCTGCAGCCGTTGCAACACTGTATTTTTTGTTTTTCACCGTAACAATGATGCCGGGAAGATTTGAATCATCTGATGGGCCGCGATCAAATTGTGAAACACTTATGATGACAGGCGCGTTCACTTTTAAGGGAGCATGCAGAAAGTTACTTCTCTCTTGCATTTTTTCTGCAGCTTTCTGAAGGCTTGCGCTTGCTTGACTCCTTTCCTCCTGAATTTGTTTTTCGCGCTTTGAAGGAGGTTCCTCATCTTCACAGTCATCCTCTGAACAGGTATCTTTTTTCCTTTTTGCTGCAACTTCACTTTGAATATTTCTTAAATCTTCCTCTGATGCTAACTTTTCTAGTACCTCCTTTGGAATGGCCGATGTTGTAAGACCAACTTTGGGATCTGACCCATAAACACAACGATAAGGGCTCCTTCCGATAGTTCGGTGATAAGATAGATTTTTTTGAAATTGTACGAAATATATTCCCAAGGACCATCGTTTCGAATTATTTTCTCTCATCCATGCACGAAGCATATTCTCAATATCCTGGTTGCACCGCTCTACTGATCCCTGTGTCTGTGGATGTCGAGGTCTGCCGTGCACGATTTTACAATCCAGCCAGAGAGAGGCTAATGCAGTTATCACTTCAGCAACGAACTCCTTACCGTTATCAGACTGCAGTATGTGAGGTGCAGATTGCATTAAAAATATTTTCAACCATTCTAATGCCACCTCTTGCCCTTTTTGACGTAAGAGGGCGCAAATGGCAAAATTTTGACCCATGATCTTGGTAGTTCATGACCCATTTATATTGGCCGTCGGGCACAGACTGTAAGTCCACAAGATCAACTTGCCCTCTCGAATTGAAATCTTTCGACAATATAGGCTGCACAACAAGATTTTTCTGTTGCATCTGCTTCTTGGCATGGCAGATGGTGCACAGCTTCACATATTCTGTAATAATGGATCTAGTTATATGGTATTTCTTTTTCAGTTCGTATTCCATCTTATCCCGTAACTTTTCATATGGAACGACGAATATCACTGGATCGTCAGGTTTTTTTCTCCTCAGAACTACATTAGTTGTTTCACCTACTTCCAGCTATTCGTACTTTCTTCGGTAATAGTCACAAAAACCTTTACTGACACTATTAATATCTCGGCACTTGAGGACACTGACCACTTGCGCGAAATGATTTTCGTCCCACTTCACTTTCGGCATACCTTGTTTTTCACTCGCATCGGATTTTCCTTCTTTTTCATCAAAAAGGGCACTTAACTTCAAATAAAAAAGATTTCTATGCACACCGATTTTTTCCATCTTTAAAAAAATTTAGCAAAGCAATGATTAAAAAATGCGAACACACGAACACAGACAGGCGCGAACGCGGCAAGGAGGCACGGGTGATACTAACTGCCCAAGTCACAGATTTTTCACGTACAGAGCTCCTTTCTTACAAATGTAAACAACCAAAATTACCCACGAAAATTCTTATCATCGGCACGGCGACCGTCGCTCATATCAAAGATCACCACAAACTCATCCGCGTATCCCCGGTTCCGCGCCCCCGATGTTGCCGATAATTCCTCATCAATTCATCACTTGCGGCTCGTGGATTGCCTAGGCAATATGCATATTGCCTAGGCAAATTGCGAATTGCCTAGGCAATTCGCCGGCTTGCGGAATGCGTAGGCAATTTGCGAGCCGATTGCAAATTGCCTACGATTGCTTATTGCCTACGGCATATATATGAGTTTGGGTTGGTAGCCGAGTGCTAGAAATAATGCAAAAAATGTTTTCAAAAAACACTTACATTTTATTAATAACTTTATTTATACCGAAGCTTTTCGAAGCGGACGCCTTATCGTCAGGGTGATATTGATTTGATTTTGATATTGATTTTGTTGTTACCCTGACGATGAGGCGTCCGCTTCGAAAAGCTTCGGTATAAATAAAGTTATTAATAAAATGTAAGTGTTTTTTGAAAACATTTTTTGCATTATTTCTAGCACTCTGCTACCAACCCAAACTCATATTAAAAATTAACTGAAAAGGAAAATAAATGAACGGATTTTTCCCGTGCATTTCTTGGGAAAACATTGAGTATGCACGGGTCCGACCCGGAATTTACTGGGCCACGAGAGGAAGTCAGTTAAACCTGTGCTGGCGATGCCGCTCTGCGACCTCTCCCGGATGCATGTAGGAGCGGTCTCGGGAGGCGTGTCAGACACCCTCTCCAACCTGCGAAATACGCGGAACTACGGAGAGGTAGAATTCCTCTCCGACGCGCGTCGCAGAAGCCCGATTTCTCGCCGCCACACGCGTAGGATGCGGGTAGGATCCCAGTTTTGCTAAATGAGTCCTGGCTAATAATTACCTCATGAGACGACAAGACGTGAAGAAAGCATACGACTCGCTCCAAAATGGTGTGGTTTTGGAGTCTGAAATCTTACAAAGCTCTCCTGGTGGTGGTTTCCTGCGTGAGCAACCTGGAGTACCTTTATAGATAGAGTATGGCCATTTCTCTTCCGGTTTTTCATTGGTCGCGAGCGAATAGGCTGACACAATGCTCTTAGGGCCGTAAATAAACAAACAAGATGGCCGTTATCAGCAAGCAAGATTGAGGTTCTAGGTCAATAGGTCCCGGGTTCGAATCCCGGTGGCGGCGACAAATTTTCATGGAACTGACGAGTGGATCTGTAAGCAGAATTCGCTCGGCCTTAATCCGTGAGAATTTGTAAGCCCGAGCATGGATGTCTACCAAACTCCCTGATGTCTTCGGACAATAAATAGTGCCTACAGATGGCTGTAGATTCCTAAAGGAATAAAGCCACTAAACTCTCAATAAAAAAAAAAAAAAAAAAAAA